CCACACATTGATTTTTTCTCTCCTAGCTATTGTATCCCTCTTGGGACTGACCATTGCACTCTCTCTCATTCTCCCTCGTTCACCTTACTTAATCAATAAAAGGTCCCTCGGCCACCGTTGTCATTTTTCGGAGTGAAGTAGGTCATTCAAACCGAAACACTATATATCTGCGTGTTGACCCGATATTTACATTATTGCCTTTGATTGTTCTATTTATTGTCCAATTAATAGAACGCTATCACATACTCGACTGCTGATCTTGTATGAGACTATTTTGTGCATAATCAGATTGACGTCGTCTATGGGAAGCGATTAAGCTTTCTACTACCTTACTATTATCTTTCAAATACATGACGATCACGACTAGGTCGATGAGTCAACAATCGAGGGATAATAACCCAGCCTATCAGGAGGAGGCTCCGCCTCCGCCCATACCCACAGAACCATCCACTGCGGAGACTCCCGTGGTCGGGCAACAATTTTTATAGACCATGCTGCTGCTGGTAAACCAGAACTAGCAAATCATCTAGTTGATGCTCGCCCCGGGAGCCATCGCCCCTCATCCTATAGGAGGAACACCATTCCCTCCGACGAGAGAAGCACTACAACCTCTCCACTCTAGGCGCCAAGCCCCCCTCACCGTGGGGCCCTGCGTCAGAACACCCCCAGGTAGCGCCAGGGCGCCTCTCACCCGAAAGTCTACATTACCACGGGAATCCCTGGAGTCTACACCGCCATGGGAGTTCTCGAAGTCTATACCGCTACAGGAGTCTATATCACCGCGGGAGTTCTGGGAGTCTACATCATCACGGGAGTCTTGGGAGTTTACACTACCACGGGAGTCCTAGATGTCTACACTGCCACAGAATTACTAGGAGTCTACACCACCACGAGAGTCCTGGGGCTGGGAGTCTACACTGTCACGGGAGTCTCGGGAATCTACATTGCCAGGGAGTCCTGGGAGTCTACACCACCACAAGAATCCTAGGAGGAAGAATCAAGCACTCCTGCCCTCTCCTGCTTAGTGTATAATGCCTCCACCCACCATGAGGCAAGCCCAGACACTATCCAGAGAAAGCCCGATGTCTCGGAGATAGTTCCACAGACCTTAAGAGACCACACTTCGAGACTAGAGGCACCCGATTCCTTTGTGCCTACTCTACGAGAGCCCTTCGCGCCCTCGCTACCATTTACTATACCATGTTGGAGACTATACATGGATGAGTCCTCCACCAGCGAGGACGGCGGCTCAGAACTAGTGCTGATCAGTCCTATGACACTCCACTCAAGTACGTTGTCTTCCTCCGCTTTGTAACATCCAACTACCAAGCTGAATATGGGGCCCTCAAATCAGACTTGAAGCTTGCATTGGAAATAGAGGCTCTCTGTCTGACAGCTTGTAGTGAATCACAGTTGATAGTCAACCAAGTGAGAGGAGGGCTCCCTTGGCATTCATACCTAGCGCTCAAACGCCCTAATGCCTAGGCACCTATGCCAACCAACGCCCTAGCGCCCAACACCAGCGCCAAACAGTGTCAGCGCATCTGCCTATGTAGTGGTGTAGCCTAAATCGCTTGCAAGGCGTCACCCAGGGCCACTGTCTACCCAGTAGCGTCGCCCAGACTGCTCAGCTCCAAGGCGTTGCTCACAATCCTCAGCGTGCACACTAGCACTCAGCTCTTAGCACCAGCCAGTGTCAGCGCCTAGCGCCTACTAGCCAACAGCCCAGCCTGCATCACCCATAGCCACTACCTAGTGGTATCACCCTCTGCCTTCAACCGTGGTGTCGCCCAGTTGGCCTACAATGTCTCCTCCTGTCACCCACATCTTTGGTGCCACCATACCTGTACCCAGAACTTCTCGACGTCCATGACCAGCGACATCCAGCACCCCTCGGTGTCTATGTCTAGCGGTGCCCAGCGGCCCATGACATTTGTGCACAACAGCGCCTAGTGCCTCTCGGTGTCCGTGCCTAGCGACACCCAGCGCCCCTTGTCGTCCTCACGCAGCGCGCCATGTCTTAATCTCCAGCTTAGCGGCTCTCACGAGAGTCGCTAAAAACAGGGTCTATATCTATCTTTACTTTCATGCAAAAGACCTATATCTCCAGCTTAGCGGCTCTCTCGAGAGTCGCCAAAATCTTGACCTATCTCTGTTCTACTCTCAAGAAGAGAGCTTATATCTTCAACTTAGCGGTTCTCACAAGAGTCGCTAAAAACTTGGCCTATCTCTATCTCTGCTCTCATGCAGTCAGCCTATATCTCCAACTTAGCGGCTCTCACGAGAGTTGCCAAAAGCTTGACCTATCTTTGTTTTGCTCTCATGTAAGCAGCCTATATCTCTAGCTTAGCGGCTCTTATGAGAGTCTCCAAAAACTTGGCTTATCTCTGCTTCAGTCTCAAGCAAACAACTTATGTCTCCAGCTTAGCGGCTTTCTCGCGAGTCGCCAAAAACTTGACTTATCTCTGCTCTGCTCTAAAGTAGACAACCTATATCTCCAACTTAGCGGTTGTCACGAGAATCGCCAAAAGCTTGACTTATCTCTTCTTCATTCTCAAGCAAGTAACCTATGTTTCTAGCTTAGCTGCTCTCTCGCTAGTCGCCAAGTGTTTGGCTTATCTTTGCCCTGTTCTCAAGCATGCAGTCTATGTCTCCAACTTAGTGGCTCTCATGAGAGTCGCTACAAGCTTAGCCTAACTCAGTCTGTGCTTATACACAAACAACCTTGTTCTCTAAAAGCTTAGCCTCGATAGTTGTTGCTTTCTCATGAGCCAACCTCAACTGCAGCTTGGTGCCCATATCTCTCTTCCACCAAAGCTCTCGACACTTCGTTGAGTTTGAGCATCCTCAAAAGAACGAAAAGGCCATAGCCATCTGCAAATTTTTGAAGCCAGAATGTCAGGATGACCAAGAATATAGAAGAGAGGATTCCACATAACAACGGGGTATCATAGCAAAATCCTCTATCTCGGTATTGATGATACCCTCCCCGAAAGCTGACATCCAAGGGTGTCACAAACCTCCAAAGCTTCTCCATAGGCAAAATTCACATTCTGCAGCAGGGACACCAAACCATTTCTAGAAGCAGGATAATTATGTGAAGTGTTGGGGTCATCAAACCCCATCTTTCAAGAAATAGCAGGACCGTCAGACCTCAGCTGGGAAGCACTGGGGACATCAAATCTCACCCTTTCTAGGAGGAGGGGAAGTGATCATCCTAGTGACATAAAGAGCCTTCGTCGTTAATCCATCAACCACTCGATCACCTGTGAAAGAGAGAATTTTTATAAACCAAAGACATCATCAATTTGCCTGAGTCCTCCATGGTGTCGCCCCGTGCATTGCCTAGTCTTATGCCTTTCCTGGTGTTGCCCAGGTTCATACCCATGGTGCCACTTACCAAAGTATCTCCATTTTCACGCGTTGAGCGTCCATTCTTCTCTTCATCCTCTCTCTAATAAGCCATCATATGGAACAAGATATTTGTTCTATCCAAAGGAAGGATCTCACTCATGCCCTTAACCCCCAATCACTATTAGGGCTTGGGGCATGGGGGCAAATGACGAGCCCAGATTTAACTGGGTCAGACCCAATTAATGAGCTAGGCCCAAATTAGTTACAAGGCGAGTGAAGCCTAATTCATGGATTCGATCTAGTCTAGAGTTTAAGAAGTCCAGAAGGATTAGAGTACGTAAAAAATAATTATCGGGATACTCACTTTCGAAGATCAAGAAAACCTTTAATTGTACTTACCTTTTGTAGCTCCCTGAAGATGTTGTACTTTTACCCTCATGTCACCGCTTCAACTAAGATTCTGTACCTATAAATTGTAAGCTCTCTCTACATGAGAGGACACCTCTCTATACACTCCACACATAGCTTTTCTCTCTCCTAACTATTGTATCTCTCCTAGGGCTAACCATTGCTCTGGCTCTTGCTCTCGTTCACCTTACTTAATCAATAAAAGGTCTCTCGGTCACCGTTGCAGTTTTTTAGAGTGGAGTAGGTCACTTACACAGAACTATTATATATTTGCGTGTTGACCCGATATTTACATTATTGTTATTGATTGCTCTATTAATTGTCCCATTAATATAACTCTATCACACACTTGATTGTTGATCTTGCACGAAACTATTTTGTGCATCATCAAATTTAATTAAAAGGGTTAACAGTAATTAATATTGTCAGTGCAGTTTAGACTTATAGGTTGTTTTGGCCATCAAATCTCCCCCTCTCATTGCATTGCAATGATGTAAGGAAGCAAAATCAAAAGACTTTATTGAGTTTTCCTTCTTTATAATTTTGGGAAGTACGAATTGATTATACTTCCATTGGTTATTCATACTAATCGTTTGAACTTATGAGATGAAGACTAATAAATTTGGGAGGCCACTAGATGTAGTAGTTGGCAAGGAATGTAGGTTGACAATGTTGTTTTCCCTTATTAAAATTTATTCAACTCATATTATTCGCTCCATTTATGATAGTGTAATGTCGAATTTGTATTGTATAACCCATGTTTAGCTAGATTTCTGTTTACCAATTATTGATCTCATCAACGGATCAAGCTATTTGTTACCGATCTCGTTATTTCTAATCCCATGCACGTTGGTCTTTTGTTGAATTAATGGGTTATGATAAGAATTATTGATCTTAGAGGAGTCGTTAACCCTTTGTTCATAATCTAGATTCGAAACTCTCCCACTATATATAAAACGATATTCTTAATTAGTACTACTTGAGAAAGAAAAAAAGGCACAAGAAGAAACAAAGGAACCAATATCTTATGTACCAAGACTCTGTGAACTCGATGAATTTTATATGCATCAGATTGCTGACATTGACTAAACAAGATCTTTGTCACTAGTCAAATGCATATAAAAAGTTAATGGCATTCCTTCATAATGCAAAGCCAATATGACATGGATAAAAAAGGTTTTCAAAGAGGTAACTGAACATGGAAGCCTTCAATTCACAGAAGAAAACTCCTGCTAAGCCTAATGAAGGTTATGAGTAGCCTTCAGGCCACAAGTAAGCAACAATAGGTCCGCTTGCGATGGGACAACAGGCCATAAGATCTTATCTTTAATGGCCTTGCAAATGCAGGAACGAGCTTTAGCTTTCCTAAGGAAACGCAATTGGATGCAACAAGCAAGTTTTGCAGACCGCGAAGGCACACTATAAAGAGGAAGAGAACAGATGGCTAGTCTTTTAGTCTTTATGGAGCAGGTGCAATTTGGAGCCATTAATGGAGGCGGCGAACCAAAGACAGGCATCAGTGGAGAAGAATTACTACCCATGGAAGCCGGTGGAGCAGAACCAGGAGTCAATTGAGAAGCGTTATTGTCTATGAAAGTAGTAGGCATTGTTGCTGAAGTAGAATCGAGTTTCGAAGCTTGTCCACTTACTATGGCAAAGAAGAGAATGTTGAGAAGGAGGGAGAGAATAGTTGAGGAAGGGAACTTGGTGCTCATCTCTGCAAATTTAGATCAATGTAGTTGTTTTTTAGTGGAGTTTAAGGTGTAATGTGATTAAGGAATGTAGCTCTCTCTCTCTCTCTCTCTCTCTCTCTCTGCATTGAAATGATATAAGGAAGCAAAATCGATGAGACTTTTATTAAGTTTTCCTTCTCAGCAATTTTTGGAAGTAAGAATTGATTTTACTTTTATTAATTGTTTATACTGATTGTGTGAACTTTAAGATGAAGACCAATCGCTATGGGATGCCATGAAGTGCATTAGTTGGTAAAGAATCTAGGTTGATAATGATGTCGTTTTCTTGTTACAATTAAATTAATTCATATTGTTCGATCTATTTATAATTATGTATTATCTTATTTGTGTCATATAATCTATGTTTAACAAGATTCGTGTTAACTCGCAATTATCATGGTTTAACGGAATAACACGTTTATAATTCGATTTCATTAATTCTAATCTCATACATATTGATTTTTCAGAATGATGGATCGGGTTAAGAATTATTTGTCTAAAGGAATCATTTACCCTGTCACTGTGGACATGACCTAGATTCAAATCTTTCCCACCTATAAATAATGAAATGAACCAATAATTTTGGGGCAATTATAAGCTTGCCCTTAGAGGATTGTAGCTGGATATATTATGTATGTTGAACAGTGGACAAAGGCCTAGATTTTTCTTGGCTAGAATTATAGTTAGCCATGAGAGGCTAAAGCCTTGACTACTAAAGTCAGTAAAGCATGAGACTCTATTAAATAGAAGGATGACTTTTGTGGCATAATGGCTTGACAAATCTGTTGCAAATGTGGACAAATGAGGATTGTGCATGCATGTGCAGAGTAGACTTCTTCATGCACATATTAGATCTGTTGTCCGTTTCTTCACCCAATGTCCTAAATAAAGGGAATAGTTATTGTTTGTGTATGATGACATAAAGTAATAAAAAATAAAAAATAATAAATATATTTGTATTCATATTTAAAATCAAATTACAAACATAGAACAGAGATAAATGAATTTAAGTATTGATTATAGTAGGGGTGAGAGTTGGTGGATGACAATGGTGGTGATAGAAAACAGTGATGGTTATGGTGAGTGACAATAACGATGGTGACAATGGTGGTGGTGGTGACAGTGATGACAGGAGTGGTGGTGGTGGAGGGGAAGAGGGTGGTAGTGGTGGTGGAGGCGACGGCGGCAACATCGACGGTGGTGATGGTGACAAAGGCGACGACAGTGGCAGTGGTGGTGGTGGGGGGAGGGTGGCAATGCTGGCGATAGTGGCGACGATAACGATGGCGGCGGCGGCGACAGTGGTGGTGATGGTGGTAGTGGCGATGATGGTGGTAGAGGTAGTGGTGAGGCGGTTTCAAACACTAATTTTTTTTTTTAAAGTACTTATGAAAAATAATTCGTTGAAGTATTTTTAAAAAATCACTCCAAATACACCTTTAAGTACCTATATTACCTATTAAATTTAAGTTGTTAAAATTAACCGTTAGATTAATTTTAAAATAAAATTTACAGCGATCTGAATTATGAAAAACAAAAATTATTTTATTTATCTCTTAAAATTTGAATTATGAGTTACTTTATTATATAGATGTTCAAACAGAACTTCAAGCATTGAAAATAATAAACTTTTCTAAGTGTAGAGAGTTGTGAGACATCTGAAAATGAGTGATATTCGTAAGATCACGGTGAATTCTCTTTAATAGGAGTGAGTATTTGCGAGATAAGTTATAGTTGTTCTTATACTATTTTTTTACTCATTAGTGAAAATATTCGATCTCAGTTTATAGTAGACATAGACAATTACTGAACTACATAAATCTCTTATCCCTATTTATTTCTTATCACTTTATTATCTGCCCAGTACTCTAATTGTGGGTCTGTCTCAACAATATAGACCAAGCCTATATGAATAAAAATTGCTGACCTTGACTAGACTAGCTCTTTGTCCCTAGTCAAATGCATATCAAAGGTTAATGACATTCCAGATAAAACCAAATCCTCCATATCTATATACCTATGTGAATAAAAAGTGCAGAAAAATGACAATAAACATAACGTGGAGGCATAACTCTTGTCTAGTATAAGATAAACTCAACACAACTAAGGAATTAGGGTTCATCAGATCGAATTTTTATTTCATTTAAATTCAAAATTAATAAAAAAATATCTGATTTAGATATCAATCAATTTTTTCTCATAATCTATATCTTAGCTCACTCTATCCAATTTAAATAAGTTGAATATCGATTTCATTATAAATTTTGATATTTGTACACGTAAAATTAAATCATTTTTTTTTGATATTAAAAAAAATGTAAAAATAATGGAAAGTGTTAAGAGATCAATCCGATATGTCTTCATTGGTGGGATCATAAGGTCCTGGCTACGCCCGTTATTCTAATCGAGAACGAACTTAACTAGACTAACATAGCGATTAATCACTGAATCTCAGTGTACATTGAATCCGAATAATAATTTAATCAATAATTCGGGTATCTCTAAATAAAAATTAATAAAATATAATATAATAAATTCGAATGATTGTATAATAATATCACTATCCGACTAATGGCATCAAAATTCAATTGGCTTAGTTGGAATCTTTGGGAAACAGTTGGTGAGGTTAAGGCATCACAACTTTCCCCACCGCTGATTAACATGTTTATTCCAAACCATTGAAAAACATCCTTGGTTGGTGACACCTCAGCCAAGCCAGCTCAGTTTTCAGCAAAAATTTGACAAGTGCGAGATCCACCCATTTCGTCCGACAAGTTTCTCTAGTCGTTGAGCGCCACAGTTTTACTTATCTGAGAGGCCAAGGGGAGAGAGAGAGAGAGAGAGAGAGGGAGAGAGACCTTCACTTTTAGTTTTAGCAGAGACATTGGACATAGTTGAACTGGAGCTTCAGCATTTTCGTTGATGACATTTGAGGTTAGTTCTCATCTGGGTTGTGCTTAATTTTCTGGAATTGCATCTGGGTAGCTTTAGATTTTGTTCTTATTTTGTCTTATGATTTGGTAGTAGGTGAAGCCTTGATTTTTTCTTGTTTTGTATTTATTTTTGGCTTTAGATGTTTTAAAGACTGTTTGTTAATGCTTTTTGGTTTGCCTTAGAATCTGAATTTTGATTCGTACCTTTGCTTTTACTACTGGTAACGGTTGTAGGTGGGAAAACATGTTAATTGGTAATAATTCTTTATTTGGTGTGTATTTGTATATTATCTACACATTTATGCATCTACATATATGCATTCTGCCATAGAAACTCAGTTAATACCAACGTTTATCAATATTTGCATCTACATATATGCATTCAGTTGAGCTGCCATAGAAACCCAGTTTCTATTGCTTTTATTTTATAATTTATTCGTCGGCAGATATGAAAATTTTTGGTGGAATGGTTCATGTGGTTGTTCATGGATCTTAAATAGTTATACTAATTGTTAGTTTTGATTTCGATTTCTTGATTTGCCAAAGAAGATAATGAAACGCCATGATCTTGTTTTCTTTCATCCTGGAAAATTGTTCTTTACATATTCTAGATTATACCATTTTCTGCTAAGTTGAAATAGATCACTATTTTTTTTTCTTTTTTCCTAAGCAAGAGATTTATTGATTGACTTTTTTTTTTTTTCAATATATCTCTTTTTGACTTTTTGTCATACTTTGATACAGCTGAGTTCATGGTGAAGCTGTCGTAAGTGATCAGTCGATGGGTTTTTACATCTCATTATTTCTTTGTCTGGTGCCTCTTACTGCAATTTTGGCTCTAGAGATTGAAGATGCAAAATTTGTAGTCAATGGAACTGCAACAGTTGCTGATACAGATGCTAATTTTGTGTGTGCTACTATTGATTGGTGGCCTCAAGATAAGTGTAACTTCAACCAATGCCCATGGGGATCTTCATCTGCGATAAATCTAGTAAGGGATCAAATAACTATAGTTGGTAGATAAGATATGATTCCCTTTATACTTTTCTTAGCGTTCCATTTTGTGGAGTTTCTTCTGATGAATGAAAACACTGATTACTTTGTTTTGCTCTTCTCAGGACTTATCTCATCCCATACTTGCCAAGGCTATCCAAGGTTTGTATTGGGTGGTGCTGCTTATATGATGTTCAAGCACAACTAATGCCTGATGAAGACACTAACTACTACAATAATATTTTTTTGTTGTTGCTCATTGCCATTCCATTTCTTTGATGGTGGCTTCACAGCATTCAATCGTTTGAGAATAAGAGTAGGAGGGTCTTTGCAAGACCAAGTACTGTACGATGTGGGAAATTTGCAGTCTCCTTGCCATCCATTTATGAAGGTGAAAAATGGATTATTTGGATTTTCTAAGGGATGCTTGCATATGAATAGATGGGATGAGCTGAACCATTTCTTCAGGAAGACAGGGTAAGATTCAACTGTTCAATTTCTTTTTTTTTCCTCCTCATGATTCTAACCAGTCTTGCAGTCTCATGATTACATCACAAGAACTCAATTTTTACATAAGAAGGCAATCAATTGGCCTATCTTTCTGGATCAAGCTTTCGTAATTATTCATTCTTTTCTTTTTCTGAATAAAAGCCTTCCCTGGTGGTAATTTATGGATTTAGTAGCATGTGAAAGTACATTTTGTTGAGTGGAAGTTAGGTACTTGACCTGATGCCACACACCTTTAACTAACATCAAATTTCTGGACAATTCTTCTTATTGTCTTATGAAAACTTTCGTCAGAAGACCATGCAACTGAGGGTTGCAGTTTCGTGATGAAGCACTTTCATTCTTCAATTTTCTTTCTGGGTTAGCTATTAGAGAAACCATTTTAATTGTAAATTGTTAGATGGTAACTATAGAGATTCTTTCCAATCTCTTCAATTGTATTTTTATCCTTCCAGAATTTCTTCAGTGTTCAAAGCATTATATGGGACTTTTTTCTTTCGGAAGTTTATGCTGAATGTTTTAGGACCTATAAATTTCATATTGCAGAAGAGGTTGAGGCCTGATTATTCTTAGATATCATTTGCTGCAGAGCACTTGTGACATTTGGCTTGAATGCACTATATGGGAGGCACCAAATTGGAAGGGGAGTTTGGGGAGGAAATTGGAATTCCAGTAATGCCCATGACTTCATAAAATACACCATTTCCAAGGGGTACCAGATAGATTCATGGGAATTCGGTATTGTACAGAAGGACAATCGGTTTTTTCTTCCAACTCTTTCTTCTTTGCTTCATTCTTAACCTCGCCTCTGCTACTGCAGGGAACGAGTTAAGTGGCCGTGGGATTGGTGCAAGTGTTGGTGCTGAACTGTATGCGAAAGATTTAATCAGCCTTAGGACAATCCTTGATGAGTTGTATCGGAACTTCCGCCCAGAACCTTTACTCATAGCACCAGGAGGATTCTATGAAAAGGAGTGGTATGCGAAGCTCCTTAAGGTTTCAGGTTCACTTGTAGTCAATGCCATGACACATCATATATACAACTTGGGTTCAGGTTGGTATGTCTAATCAACTTGGTTGTATCCTATTATCATAATAATGATATATAAACACAAGGTTCAGATAATGATATTAATTATGTAATTGGAGGAAATATGATGTGAAGGTGTATCTCCTTGATCTGTCACTGAATTACACGTGTTTCAACATGAAATGAATTGAAAAAAAAAATTGTTTCAAGTAGTTTATTTTGAATTTTTGCTTTTTTTTTTTCCTTCCCCTTCCCTTTCTGAAGCAATAAATAAAAATGTGAGACAATGCGTCAATGAGTGGCTTTTAAGTTACCCTGGATTCTGAAAGGTGACCGAACCCAACAATCATATGTCCCACCAATTGTTCCATCTTCAAAAAAATAAAGAAAATAAAAAGAGTAGCATGGAAGCCTAATAGAATGACTGTGAACCAACACATATAACTCTTCAATTTTATATGTGTATTCAATATTTAGCCTGACAACAGATCTTGATGTAACAGTAAGATTACTCCATTGTTATCTAAGTGTCACTTATTTGAGTCACAAAAACAATCTCTCCACATTTGGGGAATGTTGTGCACATCTAACCTCCTCAGACCCTGCAGTGGCGGGAGCCTTGTGCACTGAATTGTAATTTTTTATTTGGTCTTCAACCTCCTGAGCTTTGTCGTAATCTGATGGTCATGATCACTGAGCTTGAGGGAATTTCTTGAATAAGAAATGTTGTAAGTCTAAACATACATTTACCACCACTGCTCTGGCAACAACCACCTTCAAAAATCTGTGTCATTGATAAATATATATACAGAATGGTTGTGTTCAGAGAGGCAAAGTTTGGGGTGTTCTTGTGTAATTCCATAGGTGTTTTTTATGTAACTTCACCACTTTTGAGATTAAACTAAGGAGTTCCACATCCGAGCCACCCTTATAAATATCAATTTTGTTATAATTTGAAACATTTCTAAACGAACAAATGAAATTATTTTGCTTCTCAATAAAAGTATGATTCTTCGAAATGCACATGATAGATTTTCATTGTAACTCCTATTTTATTGTTTCAGGTAATGATCCTAATCTGGTGTGTAAAATTCTAGATCCCCATCACTTGAGTCGGATCTCAGACACATTCCAGAGTCTTAAACAAAACATCCAAATGAATGGTCCATGGGCTTCTGCTTGGGTTGGAGAAGCTGGGGGTGCCTATAACAGTGGCGGTCGTCATGTGTCTGACACCTTCGTGAACAGCTTTTGGTAATTTTGATTGCCTCATTGCTTTGTTTACTGTGATTAAAATCATCTTATGTATTTCATCGTAGAAATAGGAGGAAAATTAGTCAGCTATAATATTTCTTTGCAAATAATATTATCACAATTCTTCTTCATGAATGATTTGTAGGTACTTAGATCAGCTTGGAATGGCAGCAAAGTACAATACCAAAGTATATTGCAGGCAGACTTTAATTGGTGGAAACTATGCTCTCCTGAACAAAACTACATTTGTCCCCAACCCTGATTACTACAGGCATGACTTATGATTTTAAAATCCTTTCACATGGCATTTTTTTTGCAATCCGATGGAAAAAAAAATTTGTGGCAGAAGTTACTATTTCTGTGACTGACTAGTTCATGTAACATTGAACTAGCTTTTGTTCACAATTTGATTCTGTACAGTTCACTTCTATGGCATCGTCTTATGGGAAAAGGAGTTCTTGCTGTTGATAGCAATGCATCGCCCTATTTGCGCTTCTATGCCCATTGTTCAAAAGGCAGGGTAAGGGCAATATCTGTTTTTCTAAGTTTTGCCTGGGTTCATATGAAGAAATATTTTTGTGGAAGTTGAAAGAGTTGCTGAGATAAGAGTAGAATTTCAGCTTCCCATTTGGGATCCTTCCATTCGAAGACATCTAACAAGAGTTCCTGAACCATCATGTGAGTGGTTAATTAAGACAACTCATGACCAGCCACCCGGAGTTTTGTATGCATCCCATCCAATCATGTTTTTTCACGGGTACTCGTAGATGGACACATTTTAGGTTCACTTAATTGCAATGGTCACTTGTGGTTGTACAAGCTGGTCTAATTAGTGTGAACTTCTGTTTGGTATTTCATAAGCATACCATGGTTCATGCATAGACGTGATGCTCATGGCATTGTACCACTCAAATCCTTTGAGTTCCGCCGAAAATGTGGCTCAACTTAGGCCCATGTCTTGCCCAAGGGGCTTGCATTATCCAACACCTGCTTCTCATATATTGACTAGCATTATTGTTGTGGTAACTGAGCTGAAATATTTTCTTATTTTTTATTGTTTTTTTCATTGGAACTTAAATCTCATGTGGAACATGTTATATTTGGTTTCTTCAATCGTCATTGACATTGTATTCAGTGGTGCTTGATAGGCATTCAAAACATTCTTGTCTAAAAATAGTTTCTCCTTGCTTCTCAGGGACTGATGACAAAGTCCCTGGTGTTTCTATACTAATTCTAAAACTAAGTTAGACTTCAGCTGAACATACATTTTCATCTCCTGGATATTTGGTTTATTCAATGTATTTTGACGAAATATCAATGAATCTTTCATTTCTTCAAATCAAATTACATCTCATCCGGCTCCTAAGTATCGAGGAATTGTGGTGGTTGAGTCATCATGTTTCCATATTCATGCTCCATACTGCACATTTAAACGCCCCACGTTATCTAGAAATAGTTCTTAGTAAAGATCTTTATTTTCCCTATCTTATCCTGGCTGACTTTCCCAATTACTTAAGACAGGTATTGTGTTGTTACAGGCTGGTGTAAGTTTCCTTCTGATCAATTTAAGCAACCAGACTCACTTCAAAATCAATGTTCAAACTATCATGGACATCAACTTGCACCAGCAAGAGGGTACCAGAGAGACAAAAAGGTCTTTTGTGGACAGTCTTAAGGAAACGGTTTCCTGGGTTGGAAGCAAATCATCAGACAAAGCATTATTCCGAGAAGAGTACCATCTAACTCCAAGTGATGGGAATCTTCGAAGCAAAATCATGCTTCTCAATGGTGTACCGTTGCAGCTTACAGATGGCGGAGACATCCCAAGCATGCGCCCCGTCTTTCTCGATGTAAATTCTCGAATTTCCATTGCTCCTTTATCAATCAAGTTCGTATTGCTCCCCAACTTTGATGCTCCTGCTTGTGACTTGTAAGTGATGCTGCATCATGCAAACTTAGTATGCGAATGTTGTGTGTGATGTGTTGTACTGGCCAAATGATAAGTTTATAGCAATTGTAAGCTGTGTGTAATCCTAGGGAGTTAAACATTTACAAGCTGTATCTAATGGGAATAAAAGATGCTATTTATCAGTAGTTTGTAATTATTTTATGCTTATGAAAGGTAGCTATTTTTGTTCATTAATAAATAGCAAAGCCCTGTTTATTAAAATTCTTTGATATTATAAAAATTATCAGATTATGATCGTTTTTTTTTGAGTTGGTTAATATTCAAATTGAACCCAAATTATCTATGGCTCAACTCGATAGTTTCGATGTCTATTTGTCTAAAATAATATGTGAAAATCCTTTTTTAGTAATGGAGAAATAATAAAATATTTGTTAGTTTGAATCGTATTTTATTCTCGAAATTTTTGGATTTTATCTTATTCTTATCATATTTCTAATTTATTCTTCTTTTCTTCCATGGCTCGATTTAAATTTTCTTTTTTTGTTTTCTTTAGGGGCATTACATTATATTTTCTTATAAAATTTTATCGCAATATTTTCTTTTCTTATTTGGTTTTTTTTTTCCTTATTTAAAAATTTTGTATACTTTTATAGGAACAAGAATATAGAGATCTAATAACCCATAACCACTAAGTAATTACCTACCTTGTAATCATTTTTATTCACCTATGCAAACTACCTCTTGTAAGTGTGATTTAAAATTTTTTACTAAAAAAAAAATAACAACATAATAATTCTAAATCAAAAATAAGTTTAAAATCTCAAAAAAAAGAAAAAAAGAAAATTGGGTTTGATAATTAACCAATATGGCAAATTATACGATGACTCTCTCTCTCTCACCTATAATTTTTTTTTTTCACATTGTCACCTAAACTATTAGGTTTTTTTATGTTGCACCACAAACCATGTGAATAGTTTTACATTTCCTCATTTATTAACACATGTTATAATTTAGAGAAAAAAGTTGATTCATTTTGTTTCCCAAACTATGTGATTTTTTTCAAAAAAATTTGTCCCTACACATTAGCAAGTTTTGTCCAAATATAACATATATTTATGTTTGGGGCAATGTAAAATAATTTAAGTAGTTGGGAGAAAATCTTAAAAAAAACTCAATGGTTTGAGGCATAAAGCAAAATCGAATACATAGCGTAACAGAATCTCCAACCCACTTTCCATTTCCTCTCTTTTAGCTAGTCAAATAAAAAAACCTCTCCAACTCACTCTTTATTCCACTATCTATTTTTTATTTCACCCAAATGACTCTCTAAATGTGGAGGGCTATTTAGTCTCTCTAAATTTTCTCTCTACCTTTTTCTCTTTTTATATAAAAGTTGTATTTTTTTTAAATTATTGAAAATTAGTGAAAGTTGGGTGAACTAGTTAGCTAAAATAGAGAGGGTAGTTGAAGTGAATTTGTAAAAATAACTAACTAGAATAAATAATGTAATATTTAAATATAGTTTGACTAGTTATTTTGGAGACCTGAGTTAGGGATGCTCTAAGGAATCAAAGTGTCATCCGCCCTAGCCAAAAAATTCGATTAATTTTGGTGTTCCCTAATGGTAAGATTTTAGCTCTTTTAAAGTTAAAAAATTATTTTTTATCCTCATTTTATGTATCTCTCAATTCTCTCTTTATTTTTCAAAAAATTAATAAATTCAACAAAAAAAAAAGTTTTTTTTGATTAAATTTGAGCTCTTTTTGGATTTTGTTCTTTTAAATTTTAGCAATCACGTATTAAATATCTTTTTGAATTAAAAAAACATAAGAAAAAATATGACAAAAATGAATGATATTGGTTTATTTGTTAGCAAAAGTTCAAAAATGTGATGAAAATATGCAGGGATGAATGGATAATTAAAATGAAATGAGATTTTGAAAGAAAAGAAATAAAAAAAAAAGGAAATATTTTTAAATAAAAAATAAATTGATTTGAATAAAAAATTTATTCTATTCTATTCAAATATTAACAAAAAAAATTTAAATCAAACTTAAATAAAATTTGGATAAAAAACACAAATGGGTCCTCAGCTTTGCCTCCAGTTTCAATTAAGCCATTAAACTAAATTTTATCTCAATTGAGCTCTTGAACTAAATAGCTTAATTAATAGTTCAAGAACTCGATTGAGATAAAATTTAGTTTAAGGGCTTAATTAAAATTAGAGGCAAAGTTCAGGGACCTTTTGTGTTTTTTACCCTAAAAATTTTGAGCATCATTCGAGATAGGATTCGCATCTGCAACCCACCAAACGCGAAGTCTTTATTCCCAAACTCTCTCTCTCTCTCTCTCTCTCTCTCAATGGCGTCTGGAGTGCCACAGCCCGCTCGCTCTGAAATCCTTTCGCTCTTTCGGTCACTCCTTAGAACAGCCCGTGAATTCAAAGACTACAACATTCGAGAATACTCAAAGCGCCGAACCATCGACGCCTTTCATCACAACAAAGACCTCTCCGACCCTAACTTGGTCTCCGCCGCCTTCTCCGACGGAGTGTCGCAGCTTGAAATCGCCAAAAGACAGTCCATCGTCTACTCTCTCTACGCACCCAAAGTCAAAAGCGTCATGGAGATCAAGTAGTGTTGAAGTAATCATGGTGCGTCAGTTTTGTACTGTATTTGCAGCTGTTTTTTATGCTGAGTTATGGATTTTGGCTGTTTTTCTGTACTGGGTTTTGGAGCTGATTAATTGAAATTGAGGTGTAGTTAAGATTATATCATATTCTTCGACTTATATCGTTAGAAATCTCAGCTTTGATGAACTAATAAAGTTGAGGAATTTTGATTAATTGATTCGTTGTTGATTAGTTCATGGATTATGAGTGGTATGTGTTGGGTCTTGGTTGATTTTATGAACGGGGTTTTGGAGCTATGTTATAAAATCTAAGTTTCAGTGATGGGCATATGGAAATTGTGAATGATGGTGGTGTGAAATTATGGGTTTAGCGTTATATGTACTTTTAGCTGTTGTCGATGCTATTTAGGGTAATTGGTGATTTACCTGAACTGGGGTATGTGGACATAGTTAGGCTTTATGATCACTTGATGATTAATTTTGATTGGTTTTTGGTGGCGCAATGTGTGTATCACTGTGTACCAAGTGTTATTTTGGTCCTCCACTGACCCACGGAGGGAGGGTCGAGTCCTATTTGAATGCTTTTGGGGGAACTTGCAAATGAGTTGTTAGGCATGTTATTACTTAAGATGGTTATAATCGAATGAGGCTGCTTAAAATATGTACAATAGATTAGGATATTCCTGTGGTTACTTACCAAGTGTGTCCTTGTTTATGTCAATTAAGGGTATCAAATTAGAAGGTAACTTAGTCGTTGATATGTAGATAGTTTAACAGTATCAACCTCATTTATGATTGACTCACCATAAGAAAATGTGATGGAAATTTTAGTATGCATTGTTCATATACAGGAAGCCGTTTTAGATTTGCGTTGGATTTTCAGGTTCCCTTATCATTTTCTCCACAGGATTTGACTACATTAAGTGACTCAGGTTGAGGACCTAGATATTATAAGTCAGGCTTATGATCACATTCAAGGGAAGATGGTTTAGGATGTTGGTGGATCTAGCACTTGTTTCAGTCAATATATGCACTTGTTCAACTGCATACCCATGTTGCTTAACTGGAAGTTCTGATTTGTTTAACTCAGGTTGTTATGAATTCTCCAAATAAGATAGTTGTGTGAGTGGAATTAGGGAACATACCACCATTTGACTTTTCTTTCTTAGGTTTCATTCGGAGCGCACTCCTATTCACAACTTTTATGACAATTTTATTGTTATTTATCTTCTAAATGTAAGACACTATATTCACGTTAGTGTCTTATACTTATCGAGAGGGTTGTGAGAAAACCATGTTTTCCCTGTTAGTTATTGATCATGCTCCAAACTTTGAAGAATACATGTTATGGGATGTATCATATGGGAATACTTTGTTGTACTTATATCAAAATGCACGCCAACTTAGTGGGGAAAAATGAAAATATATGTCAAGAGGCCATTGCTTGATACAATGGTAATGGCTTGGTTTGTTACACAGGAAATTCTAGTACAATTTTAAGGGTATAATCAATTTTGAAATGTAATGAGAAAAGCCAGGTCTTTACCTACTCAGCCTTCCAGCGCTGTGCATTACAGAGTATAGCCTTTTAGAATATGGAATAGGGGTTGCTATGTACTCTATTTCCGGGGAGACGTACTGGTGAGTTCTTGATTCATTCTTGGTCTATTCTTCTTGGTTTGTTTTGGAGGTATTTTTTTTGGGTTTGGGGTGGTTAAGAATTGAGAAATAAATGTGTTCTTCTAGTGGATGAGGCTGAATGTCATTTAGGTTTGTGCAGTTATATTCATGCTTAGCAGTTTTGTTGAATACTGGTGTTTGTCCCGGGATTTGTTTGTGCTTTTTTCCTTTTTTTTTTGTTTTTGTTTTTTTTTTTTTTTTTTTTTTTTTTTTGGGGGGGGTAGTAGTTTGTAACAGGAGACTGGATGAATCTGAGTTCCTGCTGGCTTCTGGGAGAATTGTGTTCCAAAATTTGGGGAAAAAATGAGGCCATATTTCATCATCTTGAGGAAAAAATACCTGGTACAGTTCAGGATGGTCCCATCTATCCTTTGGATTTATTCTTTTCTATTGTCTCTCAGTCCCAAATGTGGTGTAAGTTTAGGGTGGTTTGAAACACGAGCTACATGATGTTGTCTTCTTGCCTGTTTCTTGGAAAATTGTTCAGAATCGCGGAGGAATAATGAGGCCATACAGAGCATGTTTTTTTGTTATTTTCGTTATCTACAGTTAACGGCGTTCTGGTCCTACCCTCCGAGTTCAATCTATTCTATTTGTACAACATTCCCAATTGATGTATAAGATTAAACTGTGCTGGTGTAGTCAATGTTATCTTCATTATGGGTGGATTTGATACAGTGTAAGAGTATAGGTACTTGGTACGACACTTTGTGAAATATGTGGTGGGCGGTGTGGTGGGATAGGCTTAAGCTGAGAAGGTGTTTTTGGTTGCCAGGGGCAGATCCAAGAGTTCTTCAGTGGGGACAATTATTATGTTGAAGAGAACAATTGTACAATCATTATCAATGCTCGTTGCACATCACAAATAATAGTTTATAGGCTTGTTAACGGTAAGATTTGGATAAAATTTTGATTGATATAAAAAATTTAGTTCGAAAATCCAATTTGAATTTGATTTTAACTATTCAATGAATTTAATTCTTCCAGTTTATATTCAAATCCTTTTCAAAAAATAAAAGTTGATCTGATCTAAATAATAAAATCAGAGCTGAGCACCATAATCTCTAGTGGTTACTTTTAACTTACATCATTAGATCACGATTTAATAGTCACCAAATAAAGATGTTTAAAATTAATTGTCAGGGTTTATCTAATTTAGTTCTTAATTAAATATAAAATGTCTAAGACTCTTAAAATTTATTGTATTGAAATTTATCATAAGATGCATGTCATGTACCGTAAGATACTGTTAAAAAAAAAAAAATGATGCAACTCAAGATACATACGTTCAAGCATTGATCAATATGTATCATAAGATATCATGAGCAGGCATTGAATCAATAGATTTTGTATTCACAAGATAACTAAGAAAACTACATAGCATTCTATGAGAGATACAAAGAATCCACGAATGGATGGATCATGGATGTATCTGAAATACAATGAACAAATCCTCGTACAGATCTTAAGTGTTGATTATGATTGGCCGTTTGTATAGCATTCTGTCAAAATTCTAACTCATTAACAATTCAGAGAAAATCTACCAAAGTTTTAAATAACAAGGGTGTTCTGTTAACTTTGCCTCATTCTCTTTATTCTCTCCAGAGCACCGAGAACGCTGTCACCATCTTTCTTTTTAACGGCGACCCCATTGGCCCCATCTTCGTCCGTCTCCTCCCGTTTCCGAACCAGACCCCCAAAAACTGCTGACGGAACATCCTTCTGTGCAATCTCAACCTTCTCATCATCTTCAGAATCACTTTCATCCGGCAGATCAATGTCCTCCTTATTTGCAGTGACCTTAAGCTCTCCATCCTTGAGTGACTCGACTCCAGCGCTCACGAAGCCCAGTTTCTTGAAGTCATCTTTGATGTTAGTGTTGGCTGGAGGTATTATCTGTCTTTCAAGTGCAGCCATATTGTCATCAGGGACTCCAGCAGCCTTCAATTCACCCATTATTTCCTCAGGGTTCAGCTTCTGATCCTTTTGCATCATATTTTCAGGCCTATTTAAGTATGTCTGCAAGAAGAATGAAGATTAATAAAAAATAACTCTAAAAATGCAGAAGTTTTGAAACTAAACCCTAAACAGCCAAAACAGCGAAATTAAAAAAATTAAATATAGAAAATATTTTCAGACCAACTATTAGAATTATGCGAACCCACCACACCAAAAATTATATTTTAAGCAAAATCAATAACAGGCTCTGAAAATTTCATTGCAACTCATGTTCTAAGCAAAAGCTAACTTGCAATTCCTCTTGCTGCTCCCTTCCCCCCCCCCAAAAAAAAAAAAAAAAAAGAAACTGGTTTAAAAGCAACTTATTTTCAAGAGTAGTAAGATGATCAAAAGTAATATTGACTTTGTCTTATATTGCAAGAACTCCTAGCAGCCGCAGGAGATTTCATAAACACACAGAAAACCAGAGTCCAGACAGTATTACCTGACTAAATTTTGCAGCAACAGTCCGTTTAGTACGAAGCATTTCTCGGAAAGTGTCTTCATTCCCATGCTGCACCTCAAACTCGTGCCATTTATTCCAGAAGTCAGCATCTGATCGTGGGTCTGCAAACTGAGATGCATAGGTATACACTCCACGAGCACGATCTATTTCTCCCAAGCTCTTCTCGAGCTCAGCATACTTCATGCACATGGTTTTCACATCCTTGTCTGGAAGACCACCATTTTCAATCGCCTGCTCGTAAATTTCCCTTGTTTTTGGAACACCAAAAATCTCTGCTGCACGAGCTATGTAAATTTCATACATGCTCAATTTCTCATTGGCTGGGACAGCTTTTGTAGCTTGATCATAAACCTTCATGGCTCGTTTTGCTAGTCCGTAATCCTCCTCTAACTTGGCATATTGCAGATACAAAGGCTTCACAGCTTCAGCAGGGGCCTAATGTACAGTAAACCGATTACAATAGAAAGAAGAGAATAATAAACCAGAATTCATAGGCTGCATCTATTTCAAACAAAATATATATACATCTTTCATGGAAGTATTAAAGTCCCTAGGATGGGCTTTTTTCCTACTGGGTAAATCCAGGATAGGCTAAACAGCAAAAACCAGAGGGCAGCCAATGCAAGAGATTGGTCCACCATTGTCCCCTACAAAAACCATTATTCAAGTAACTTGTTTAGTAGTCACAGTGGAAGGCTTGTAAGGCCACCTCTTACAAAATAGCACTCCATTTATTTATGCATAATCTAAGCAGTACAGATATAGACTTAGAACATGGATATGACATGACAGGCATACCAATGGAGCATACCCTTGAAAAATAAGCCACGAACACCCCAAGAAAATGGCAACAAATGACACAATTTTATCTTCATAGTATTAGTTTGTCTATTTTGTTGTATAACATATGAAGCAATCTTATATCTGTTGCGGGAATGCCAAAATCTTTAATTTATGAATCATCGCAGTAGACATTCACTCGTGTATAGATAAAGCATAGCAATCATAGACATCCTCCCACATTGATCTTAAAAAAAAATCTCCTCCCATGCCCCTCCCTTTTATTAAACCATCACTCGTTTGACTTTTTTTTTTTTTGATAAGAAACAAAACTCTTGTATTAAAAGAAAAATTGAGTGTACATCAGAAGAGATTGGATAAGATATCCAATCAATTTAAAAATAAATCAGCAAAAATTCAAAGGAAAAATGGGGCCTATAAATCCCATGAAGCTCTCCATCCCGTTAAAATAGCAAAAAACGGAATGCCTTTGAAACTAAAGCCCAAAATGATCATAAAAAATGAATATGATCTCATAATCCATCCTTCCTTTCCTTCCGATTTTTAAAAATTCTTGAATTACGCTCCCTCCAAATAACCCAAAATATAGCAATAATAACACAATCCCGCAAAACAATACCTTTATCAAGTCTTCCAAACCCTTTAACATCTTCAATAAACAAAGAAGAAGATGTTGCTGGGAACACCCAACTTAATCCCACCTCTTGACACAACTGATACCATAACTTCAAAGCAATAAGACAATGTAAGAATAGATGGTCAATGCTCTCACAATCCTTTTTACACATCACACACAATTGAGAGGAGAGACAAGTATGAGGCCTCCTCTTCTGAAGAATGTCATAGAGTGTTAACCTTACCATGAACTACCATGCAAAAATTTACACCTTTAAAGGCACTTTAGATCTTCAAATCATCAACGCAAGAATAGAAGTAGGAAAATTTACCTCCAACATAGAATCGAAGGAAAATTTACAAAAAAAGACTCATGAAGTCTCAAATGTCCACCTTCTTTTATCATCCGAATCTTTATTCATAACAATGTTGTTAATAGTATCAAGAAATGAAATCAAGTCAATAGTGTCTCTCTTCTAAATTCCTAGGAAAACTAAAATCCCAAGAATACGAATAATTATAAGATCGAATCATAGACACGATGAAGGAATAGACGATGAAATAAATATGATAGACGATGTTCACCCACCCATACATCCTCCCAAAAATGTATTCTCTCCCTATTACCCACCACAAACCTAGCATCTTGGGAAAACCTCGTTAGGCCCTAAGAAATGCATTTTCCATGGCTTCAGAAACTACCCTTTTCAATCCTATTAGCATCCCATCCGTTAGCATTTAGTCCATATTTGCTCTTGATAACTAAATGTCACAATGAATTTAATTCCAAATAAAACCTCCAAAGTCATTTACCTACTAAACCACAATTTCTTGCTTTCAAATTACCAATTGAAAGACCTCATTTTTCCCTAGATCTAGATATCACTCCCCAACTAATCAAATGATCCTTTCTCCCTTCACCACTTTCCTCCCATAGAAAATCCCTCATATTTTTTCAATTATTCTAACTTCTCTACCAGGTAATTTGAATAAAAATAAAAAATATGTGGGAATACTAACAAGAACTAACTGAACAAGAGTCAACCTATCCCCTCTAGACATACAAGTTTTCTTCCAGCTATCTAACACCTTCCCAACTCTTTCCACAATTGGATCTCAAAAAGATAAAGATAATGGTTTCCCACTCTAGGGTAATCCCAAGTACTTCAAAGGCCACTCTCATACCTTACATTCCAAAATCTTTGCCATCCTACTAATCTTTTCTTGATTTGAATTAATGCTCACAAGTACACTTTTATCCATATTCACACTTTAGATATATGTTTTCTTCCAACTATCTAACCTCTTCCCAACTCTTTTCACAACTAGATCTCAAAAAGATAAAGATAATGAATTCCCACCCAAGGGTAATCCCAAGTACTTCAAAGGCCACCCTTCTACCTTACATCCCAAAATCCCTGCCATCCTACTAATCTTTTCTTGATTTGAATTAATGATCACAAGTACACTTTTATCTATATTCACCTTCAAGCCTGAAACCATACCAAACACATCTACAATATTTTTAAAATTAAGAAGCTTATCCTCCCCTCCATCAGATAAAAAATATTGTGTCATCAGAAATTGTAAATGAGAAACTGAAACTTTATCCCTTCCCAGTGTGAAAGCCTCCACCAAATTACAATTCTTATCCTTCTTTACTAATCTACTCAACTCATCGACAATTAAAGTAAAAAGAAAAGAGGTAAAAGATCACCCAATCTCAATCCTCTAAATGTCTTAAATCTACCCCTAGACATTCTGTTCACCATAACCGAAAAATTCATAGTGCAAAGATCCAAGAATCCATTTTTTCCATCTCCCTCCATACACATCTACACTTGTTTGACTTTTGCTATTCAACACAATGAAAACTTGCTAAAAAAATTTCATGGACCCTTAGTTTTGTTATGTTTAACTATTATATTTCTCTTCATCTTCATATCCCAACTTCCAAGTGTTACTAATCCCATATGTCAAGTGTCTGAGGAGGGATGACACGTGTGAGGTGTTTGAAAATGCAATCTATTACATACATGGTCAAAAGGTACACGGGTCCAGTCTAAACACGGATATGCAGTCTTCTTGGAAGGGTCCGCGCTTCCTTACACATGAGAAAGCAAAAAATTCCAGCTACTTGGCCTAAACAATCTCATCCACTCAACCAGTGAGGTCCTTCAATATAAATATAGCAATCAATTGCAGACAGATTGATGCTGGACCTTTTAAGCTTCAGTACTACAAAGGAAATGCAGAAGTAAAGGAGGCTTAAGGAGCTGTGTGTGGTTGGATTTAAGCTTGAAAATACGAGTAGAAATAAGGTTTAGAAGGGTTGAAATAAGAAAGGCATGGGTTTGGGGCTTAACTTGGCAAGAAAAGGGAAAATGTTCAGGTCCGTTCTTAGTGCTGTGAAAAATATCAAAAAAGAGTAAATGGCTGTGCTGGGTGGCTAGGTTGAGGACTTCAAGGAAGATAAGGCTTGGTTCATTTGTTTTCTGCAAGCAACTAAACACAGGGACCTAAAATACATTTGCACAATCCACTAGTGTAAAAAACCTAATCTCAAGCTATTGATGATGAGGTGTGCTCCTGCTGGTATGCTAAATGCTCAAATAAATCTACCTCTACGCTTATCGTAACATATGATGCTGTGGCCTTTAACACTTACAATAATCGGAAATCTTCCTGCCAACCAATAAACCAAATACGTCAAGCTGAGATGTTAAGAATAAAAAGGAGTAATAGTATTGTGCTTACCATTTCAACTGCATGTTCAAACAACTCTCTAGCCCGCTCCAGTTTTGACTTCCCGTATCTTTTAACAAATTTGGAAAGATAAGTGACCCATATGTCCTTGACATGTGGGTATTTAAAAATTTTCACCCCTCTCTCGTAAACCTTGAATGCATCCTCAAAGTATTTGTGCTCCTGGATAAATCAATATGAAACATTAGTTGTTGACCCACGGACATACCGAAAAAATCAAAAGGAGCATGAGCAGGGAGAAAAGGAGGGATAGCAAGATAGGAGAGGTGTTCATACTTCCAAAAGCATTGAGTAGTTTATAATAATCTGTGGCGTGGCTATTCGGAGATCCAATATTCGCTCATAAACTTCACGAGTTGACTCCAAGGTATCCAGGCTCTCCTCCAAGTCCACATAGAATGCCCAAAGCCGAAGGGATTTGTGCAGTTTCATCTGCACTGGTTCATTTCCATCAGCAGCCACTGCACGCGAACACATTAAGCAAAGGTCCGAGGGTTAACCATGTTTAACAAATGCTGCAAAATATATTAGCACCAAAAGAGATAAAAGTATATTCTAAGTAACCCTCATTTATTATTTGGAGTTTAGAATTTAAAAGAAAATAAGCCCGTCTTGATTCCCTGATTTTCGAATTCATTCCCAGATTGACTTAAAAATCACCATTCTACGAATTTCAGTTTGACAATTGTTGGGTTTTAATTAAAGCTACTTCACATACTTACCAAGCAACAAGAGTAGAAGTAAACAAGAAATGATTAGATAAATGTCACAAACGGAGGATATAGGAATTACCTCTCCGTTTGACATCCATTGAAGGCTCTGCCGTCGCACGCCTCATCAGTTCCAGAGCTCCCTTGAAATTTTTGTGCCTTAGTTCCATTTCTGCCCATTCACACCAAACACTAGCCAGATGATCCACAGTTTTGTAATTGACCTGTACTGCCTTGTCAAAAATCACTCGGGCATTGGCAATATCTTTATGGCTCTCATACAGCTTGGCAAATGCAACCCACAAAGTATGAGGCTTTCCCAAAGCTTTCATTGGATCAATAGTCCTCACTGCCTGAGTATAAGTCGAAATTTGCTTAGTTGGATTACCCTCAAAAAGTTTTACTCTCCGATGCCACTGCTCCACATTATGTGGGTTTTGACGAAGAAGAACGCTATTGGCCAGTTCTGGCCTCCTATCCATAAGATATTCTAATCGTGCCAACCTCAAATCAACATCTTTATCATCACACAGCCAAAACCCCTTAAGCTTCTTCTCCAACTCCGTCATATTCAAGCGGTCATCCTCCTCATCATCCTCAACAGCATGCACTTCACCATTTTCTTCCTCCTCCTCACTCTCACTCATCTCTTCCATCTTCAAAGCAAGCATACTCTCTTCAAACTGCGAATATGCATCAAATATCACACTAAAATCCCTTACGGTAATAACCGTAGTCATCCCTTCTTCAAAAATATCCCTTGCCTTCTCCACCAACTTCCTCCTAATATAATAGTCCGCTAAAGAAGTCCAGAGCCGTCCAATCTCATTTGTGAACTTCTTAATCCCTTGCCTAATAATGGCATCCACATTCAACCCAGCAATCTCCATGGCATGTTGTGTAAGCAAATCACACAATTCCAACCATAACCTATGTTTAGTCTTCCCCTTTATCGAGTAAAACTCGTCATTATTCAACACCCCAGATAATCTGTCCGCCGCCTCTTGCCAAAGACCCGAATTCAGTAAAAATTCAATGAAATCCTCAATATGGGACGGGTCATAGTCCAAGTATCTTCTATAAACCCTAAGTGAAGTCTCAATTGGGGCACCCTTTTGGCTCACGAACACCAAATAGGGTTCCCAAATTCGATCGTGTTGCATCAACGGCAACGCGCAAAGTGCACGATCGAAGGTTCTACGAGTCCGGGTTAACAATTTTTGTTCCGTAAGGGTTTGTAAGTACATAATCCAAATTCTGGGCATTTTGTGCATGGTGACTAGAGCCCTTTCGAAAGTATTGTTTAGGGTTTGGTACTGTGAGTGTGTGATGGGTAGGTTTCGAACGAGTTCGAGGCGTTCGCGAAGATAAGCGTACCAGAGTTTGTAGCTTCCTGGTAAAGCTTTGAGAGCTCTTTCATAGATTATTGCTCGTTTCTTGAAGGGTGCTTCGGTTCGTGCGACTAGATAACGCCACCATAGTTTCAAGCTGAAGGGATTTCTGAGCAGTTCTTCTTCGTATAACAAGTCATCTTGACTTGGGTAGAGTTCTTGTGCGATCGCCATGCCCTTCCGATTTGCAGACCAACCCTAGAATTTGCAGACACACAGAGACGCCTGCTAAGTGACTGCAGCACCGGCCCAACGCATAATTTTATTAGAAAAACATTAACTAGTATGCAATTTGATTAAATTTTCCATAATATATTTAAAAAAAAATTTATTCACACTTCTTTTAAATAAAAATATCTTTAAAGAGATGTCCTTTATTTTTTAAATTATTTTATGTTAAAATTTGATTGGAATAAGATATAATGAACTAAGCTAAAGTCTTCGTTTACGCTCCATTTTTGGTCTTTACCCTCACCAAAATTTTCAAAATTAGCACAAAAGATGAATCATGAGATTATTAGACAATGGTTAGAATTTTGTCCTAGGGGAAACAAAGATAAATTGTTCAGTTCTCTTTAAGGTTAGAATAACCGGGGACGGAACAAGGATTCTATCAAAGGAGGGGCCCGAACAATAACATAATTAAGAATTTTATAAGTATATCACACTAAAAAAGTTTAAGTTTCGTTCTCAAAAATACTTGTTCATCCACTATAAAGAATTTTGCTGTCAACTTGCAAATGTCATCAATTCGACAAACCTCTATAACGCCCCCAAAAAACATATATGATAATTTTTTATACCTTTTGTATGAACAAATCAAAAATACTAACCTCTTAATTGGTTGAAAAAGGAGAGAAAGGGCTTGAAATTTTTTGACTTGTGATTTTATGTTTTACCATGAGAGAAAGTCTCTCTCTAGAAGTTTGGTATAATAGAAATTCTCAGGGAAATTGGTTAAAAATATAAGAGTTGTAATTTATTATTACTTCACACTTTCCAAAAGAATATAAATGACAAAACTTACGGTATTTGAATACAAATGACAAAACTAGCATTTTTTTTTTGGATGACGGGAAACTGTCTGGCCTATACTTAAGCATGTGAATCCAATTAGAACTGAGGGTATTGTCCGAGTGCATGGACAGATCTTTCAACTTATATACTAGTTAAATCAAGACTTATACTTTAATAGAGATTTAAACTTATACCAGATATTTAGATACGATTTGTCCAAACAACTGAGATTCGTCCTACCGATCAACCATGTTTTTGTGGCCCAAAGGACTTGAACCCTTTATCTTAAGAAAACTAAATCTCCAGAAGACAAGAGGTATTATTAAACCAAAGCCCGTCAATTTTAGTAAAGTATATTGTAAAGAAAGTAACATGTATATGCCCTTTGAGATTGTAGGGCAGGATAATAAGATATCTAATTTCAATAAGATACCTAGTACACCGATATCATTGTACATTAAAAGTACTAATTAACAAGATTTTCAAATAGACTTTAAAAAGGCAATTAAATGAATATAAACTTTTATAATCCAAACATATGGTTTAATATTAATGAAAGTTTTCTATTTGTGGCAAATTATTTATTTTCTGAATAATAAAAGGTTAATGCTACTCTTGCTTCCCATATTTGCTTATCAATTATTTTCACATGAACTGAGGTAAACCATGGATTGGTATAGCTCATTACTATATAAATGGTCTATCTGCGACATGTCAATTGGTAAGAAAAATTGATCAAACAATGTTATCGAGTACTGATAAATCTAACAATATAATACACACAAAAAAATTTTGATATTTGAGTCCAAAAAATGTGTAGTTAAGACTATTTTCTGTTACTAAGAAAAAAAATTAGAAATGACCACCCTTATTATCATCAAAAAAATGTTTATGGATGTGTGGTATTGGACGGCAATGCTGACATCATGTCATCACCGTCTCGGACCAATGAATCGAACGGCGTGAGATAATCCGAGATGTCAAGCGATGAAGGAGAACCGACGTTGAGTCCATTGGGTAAAGCCACGCCATCGGTGGGAACACCAAAGCCATATCCATACCTTGGATAAGTAAGCATTGCACTGGACATGGTGTTGAAAGTTGTTGGTGGAAGAGGAGGAAGCTGAGTGTCTTGAACAAGAACTGGCTGTGCATTTGTGTTGGGAAGTAGAACTACCTCTTCACTATCAATTATAATACCCCCATTATCCTCTTGTTGTTGTTCTCCATTGGCTTTACCTACTGCTTTCTTGTACATTTTGCACAAAACCCACTTATCCAACTACAAAGGAAAAAAAATAGTTAGTTAATGCTAAATTATTGGTAACAGAGTAGTTCAAGTAGTAACAGGAACGAGTTGTAAATTCAGACGTTCTGAGTTCAAATTTTGACAGTCTTTTAGGGTCCTGCCATGAGGAATTTATCCTTCATGAATACTCTAGTTTCAGCGTGGATAGACTGCCTTTAATCGGACAGAAAATGGGATTAGTCGAAGTGCACGTAAATTGACTCGGACATTTCTGACCGTTTAATAAAAAAAATATATATATTGGTTATTTTTTATAATATGCATACAATGGTGTAAAATAGGGTAATTGGTTCCAATATAGTATAACTAGGTTCCTGCTTTATTTCATGGAGGATGATTTATCGAAGGAAGTTGATGAAAAATATATATGAGGAGGTCGAGATCCTAAACATGACATAAATACGACATAAGCTCGACACAAAATGATCTAAATTATACATGATAATAAATTCGTTTGGGTATGAATTGGATAAAAAATAAATAAATTTAATCATAACACAAATTCAATACGACATGACTAATTTATATCGTTTACTCATATCTCATGTGACCTTGAAGATCTATGTCCACTAATATGAATAATTTGGCTGAAAAGATGAGTAGATACCTCTTTGTCATTAGGATCCGTGCTTGGACGTGGATCAACTCGTTTGCCATATCTATATTCATGCATCAACCAGTTAGTCTTGATCGGAGGTTCTACTTCCTTTTCCTCTATCTTTTCCTTTCTCTTTCTCTTTTCCTTTCCGGTGCTTCCCTTGAAGAACACAAGAGATTTCTTGCATCCAATTTCTTCGCCATTGCTATAGATGGGGACATCAGCTCCCATCGGCTTCCAAAATCCCTCATCACGTACTGATCGGTCCGGTCGAGTACCGTTCGGGTATTTCTTTCTTCTTGGGGAAAAGAAATACCACACGGATTCTCTACGTAATTTGAACATTTCTGTCATCAATTCAAAACCAAAACATCATTATCCATATAAAATCCGAGCGCATAGATAATACAAATAATATTATAGTTAAATTAAATATTTAATTGTAATTTAAAAATTATTTTTCATTCTTTTTGAGATGTGAATGTACTAATTGAATATTTGAATTATGTGTTGTTAATATATCTTTTTCAGCCAATAATGTTACTAATCCATTCAAAGTCTAATAATTAATTTAATGGCAAGATAAATATTTATTCAATTTAATAGGTGCCAGATTATGAAAAATAAAAAATATGTGAACAACAATATTCAAACCCAATATCACATGCTTAAGTATTGTTTTATGCCCAAAAAAAAAAGAAAGTAACAAGCTTAATTGAAATTGAACAAATCTAATTTTTCAAAAGACCAATCTATATTGAAATAATTTATCACATACCAATCCACCACCAGTTCCACGCAAACTCATGCACAAAGTACGGACTAGCATAATTAAGCCAGTTAAAATAATAATAATAATAATAATAATAACAACTAGCATTGAACATGAATTTTCATATTGTTACTTTGCCCAAAAAAGAAAAAATAATAATAACAACTAGCATTGAACATGAATTTTCATATCGTTGCTTTGCCAAACAAAAAAATAATAATAATCACATTGTTTGGAAGCTTTTCAACTTGAATAAGTAAACCTGAACAAGTAGGAGAGAGAGACAGAGAGAGAAGAAGTTTAGAAAGACTAACTCGAGAGTATTTGGGGACTGTAGTTATAAAAATAGAAGTCCCGAATCTGGTTTCGAGGTAAGGTTTCGTTCAAGACCTTCTTCTTCAAGTAGACGTTGACTAACTCTTCATCAGTTGGACAAAAACGATAACCAGGTGGCAATGAGTTAAAGTAAACATCATTAGCGTCTTCTATGTTGTCATTATTCTCCATTACAGTTTGTTTTCCTTTCTCCGTTGTTGAACCTCAAATCACACTGTTTATAAGGATAAAAGTATATGGGAGTGAGAGATAAATTTTCAAGGAATTGGTAATAATAATAAAGTGATAAAAAGACCAATATTCTCTAACAAGGATTTATAATAGTATATGTTTGTATCATTTACTATTTTGAGTAGTAATTGGAGTTGGAAGTAGTTAGAGTCCAACGTGGATATTACTTGTTTATTTTGGATAAATTGCAGGTGAATATCTATTGATGAAAAACAGGATTAACTAATATATGTCTGTTAGTCGATCTAATCTTTATTTCAAGGACTTCGCCTCGGTACCCAAAAAAAAATAAAAAAAATTGGTAGTATACAACAAATTTTAATGGTTGCTTTTACAATTTTTATAAGTTATTTTACAACAAAAAAAATCATCACTTTTGTAAGTGATTTACTACTATTATAGGTATTTTTACCACTGTTGTGGTACTAGTAATCCATCCTAAATTTTTAGAGGTAAATATTAGTACAATATGAAAAAAAATAAAAAATAATAATTTGGTACCTTAAACTTTTCCTTATTTCAATTCAATTCGAATTTTATAGATTTAATATATATATATATGTCCAATTTAATTATGATCGGACCAACAATATATTTATGTGTGCATATGAAAATATGATGAAATTGGAGGATTATAAGATACATTTTCATTGAAATTCATGGGATTTCCTAAAATTTTTAAAAAATAAGTTAATTGAACGGATCAGATTTTTTTAGTCCCCTCACCAATCATGTTTTTTACATTAAATTTTCAACTATATTGCCCAAATTATTAATTTACGCTAAAATTTTTATAAAATTTATTTTGTTTTACCCCCTGAACTATGTGTTTATTTCACTTTTTCTCGTAGCTGTTAATAATTTCTCTCCAAAAGATAATAAATGTTTGTATTTGGAGCAACATGAAATCAATTCAAGTAATTGAGCGACTAATATAAAAAATTCAATAGTTCAAGGAATAAAATAAAATTTAATCAAAAATTAAGGAATTCAAAGTTTAAGTTTCCCTTTTTGATAAGGTTTTGAACTACTAGACTTTCCGTACCATTAACTGATTTTAATTCCAACTAGACTTAGAGCTAGTTAGTGCCCAACTAAGCCTATCAATATTCAACTGCAACGTGCTAATGTTTTCTTCATGTACCGTCCTAATTTTTTTTTTTAGTTAAAAACTAAGTAATCTATATTCCTATGTATAGATACTAATTAATATTTGATAATATTAATTTAAATTCAACATAATCATGTTAATTGATCTGTTCTGATTTTCAAGTTTGGAGCTAATAACTACCAATTAAATTAAATTGATAACGTTTGAATCCTTGTAACAATTAGAAATCCATGTGAGTAAAGGACTAGAGAAAACAAAAAAAACAGTGGATTAGAATTTCATGCAAGTCATGGTTAGGAGTCACTAAATTTAAAGTAAAAAATAAATATAATAAAATTTCTTATAAATGTATTAATTAATTTGAGACCCGTCTACATATTTATACAAAATTAAATATGCAAACAAGCCTCAAAGGGGCATTTGTAGACACTAAAAAATTAAGGGTAAATTTTATAATTAATCCCTGAACTTTGACTTCAGTTTTAATTTGATCACTAAACTTTCAATTGTCTCAATTTAGTCCATCAATTATCAATTTTGTCTCGTTTTAGTCCTTTCATCAATTTCCACCATTTATGAGTGAGATACGTTCAATACATTTTCTCCAAATTTGTTCTTGGTAGATCATATATCGCAAATTGAAGTAGACCTCATTACATATAAGTGAGTTTCTCATTAATAAATAGTTACTAATATATTGAACAAAGTGTAAGAACAAATATTAGAGGGGATCTAAGTTGAGTAATTTGGATGGATAACTTCAAATATAATGACACTGATGTCCTATAGAGTCTCACATAAAAAGTCTTGGTTGACTTGACACATGTGATTTGCAGATATTTATAGTAATAAAATTGTATAATTGGGTTTTTTTTTTCCCGAAAAAATTCACAAATGTTACACCACAGCTTAGGAGAGAAGGCAAAACAACAACCTATAGGTAAATGGTCAAGCAAACAAGCTCTACAACCACTTTTTATTCAGAGAGAATAAAGAGAGACAAGCATGAAAAAAAACACATGATAAATTAAACTACATATATCAATGCTCATTTTTACCAAAGCTCCATGCACCACGAAGTGGTGGATTACAGTGTATCAAACTGTGCATACAATAGTGGTACTAATATGAGGTTTGTCCCAAATTCTATTATGGGCGAGAGAGAACATGTTAAGCCCTGCGATTTTGAGATTGAAAATTAGATTATCACTCTTTACAGTGAATCGTCCGATGTTATGCTTGACTTACTTTGGTCCAAAGTCTAATCTGGAGGAGCTATCCAAGAAAAAAAAAACCCACTATAAACTTTACTCCTCTCAATCACTACATATTATGTGCATAGATTTGATTATCAGGATTTCTAGTCCTTGTAAATTTTGACACTAAACCTTTACAGCCAAGGCAATTCTATAAAACATTTGTTTTTCTAGTTCTTATATATGACCCCATGAAGTTGAAAATTCTAAGCTTTTGATTTGAGCATTCATCTATGTAGCATTAGGCACCATATGATCAGACATTTGGGCAGCATTAGGAACCATTTCATCAGACATCTAAGCAGCAGTATTAGGAACCACATTATTGTGCCTATTTGAGCAGCATTGGGCACCACGTCATTGTGCATATCTGCAGCATTAGGCATTGTTTCTTCAAGGGCAGCCCATCACAAATTGGGCCTTGAAATGAGAAAATATTTTACAGAGATTTATGGTATAATTTATTTTTAAAGTTTTAGTGGTTTTGGATCTAGCAAGATCAAGCAATAAATTAAGTGCAATTGTAAAGTCAAGTTCGTATAAATGAATAAATTGAATAAAATCTTAAAAGAAATAACAAGATAGCTAAAGATAGGGACAAAAGTCCAGAGTAAGACAATGAAACTGAGAGGGAGAGAAAGAGTTGGAGAGAGGCGGTGAGAGTGGAGGAAAAATTAATAAAAAGAATTTAAGAGAGATTGCTATTTTAAAGCTAGAAGTCCTTAATTTTAAATTTTTTTAGGAGACTGTTTTATTTTATAACTTTCTATAAAGATTTATATAAACTTGTGAAAATATTATTACAATTTAGGATTTTCTTTAAAGCTTTAGATAGACTTGTGAAATATATTTGACATTTACCTTGGTCCTTTCAAAAGGACCTCCGAACATAAAGCTAAACAAAGGACTGAATATTTGTAATCTTCTATTTGGAACCCCCTTATATTTAGAATATTTCTCCTACACCTCCTCACATTTGTGTATGTGTAACACATAACTTTTTATCATTGATATCTGTTAATATAACCGTTAAAAAATATAATTTCATCATAATAAAAAATTTCATAATATACTTTATTTTGTAAGTCCACTATATTCTAAAGTTCAAAATTAAACTTACCATTTAAATGTCTAATATAATGCAGATATTTATATAATATTTTTTATATTCATTGCTATGCATTGCTTAAACAGAATTATTTGAATGCCCCAATTGGGGGAACATCTTTAGTCTTTTTGGATTCTCAAAAGATGTAAGTGTAATATTTCAAATGTGTGGAGTATAGGTGATTAAGTGACAAGCATGAGAGTTTAGATATAATTTATCTATTTAATTTTAGACGATAAATTGACAACCGTTAATTTGACGTGCACATTAATACAAATTTTTATCTTTAAAAGTACAAATTCATATTTGAACGATCATTTCGGGTGCAATTTGAGATTAACCCTTTCTTATTATATAGTGCCATAATGTGATGAGTGATGAAGAGATTACCAATTCAAATCTAATCGAAGATTATATCATACCAAAATGAGTCAAATCGAGCCATAGACTTGAGCATGAAATTGAAAAAATCGAAGCAAACATACAAGGTCGACAACTAAGTTCGAGCCAAGCATAACTATGCTACTCGAACCGAACTATACCTAAGCATACCCAATATCCAAAGGCTCGACCTCCTGGAATAACACCCATCTTATGTAGAGGAAGATTTGGGTTTTGAGCCAAACTTCGAACGGCAACATAATTGTGAAGCATCAGCTATTATGGAATGGAGCAATCAAATGGATGACATGTACACATTGTAGAAAGGAAAAAATATAGAATGAATACACCATTTTTGTAACCAGAGGTTTAATCTCATGTTTTAGATTTCACATAAAGAGGATACAAAAACCCAATAGTTATGTAAAAATCTGAATGTGTAGATTATGTTTTAATCCATAATGTGTAAAGAAAAGTGGAGAAAATGAAGAGTGGCAGCAAGAGGAGCATCAAAGCTAATGTCAACAGCAGCGCTAACAGCACTGTAGTCTTCTATTTCCCCAGCAAACGGCGTCCACGCTGATTGGCACCTTGCACCCGGTAATTTAGCTCGTCCACATCGTCTTGAAGAGGATTCAACGCCTTGTTATGCCTGAAACACCCAAGCAATGCATACAAATGAATGTCTAGGGAGAAAAGTAACATACTAATTGCATATTATCTGACAAACATTGGCCGCCCAAGATGTGGTAATGGCAGTCCAGCTAAAAAGATAGGAAGTAAAATCAAATCAAAAAGAATAAAAAGAAAGATAAATCTGAAAGAATGTTGAAAGTTCAGTTGATGAGCCAAAACAACTGACCTTTCAATTTCAGATCCCATGTCAACAGCCATATCTTTCAGCTCCCCCAACAGATTGCTTAAATCTGAGAGTGCATCGTCTTGCTTTGCTTTTTCTACCTGTTAATGATCCCATTGATGAATTAGAATGAGTTAAATTCACCCATAAACACTACCTTATCACCTTATTTGGGAAAGTTTCCTTGTCAACTTATTCGGTATTAGGAAAACACAAGAAATGGAATACTTCCAATTTGAATGACGTAAGACAAGGCAGCAGCCAGCAGGCCTTATGAGCAAATCTAGACAACATACGGAAACAATCTAACTTAGGCAGGAAACAAAAAGTAACATTCCACATACCAAACCAGAAACACTAATATCATATCCTGCTGCGCTTAAAACCTAGAACCCAGATCTGTGGTAGCCCAACAGGCCTTATGAGCAAATCTAGACAACATACCGAAACAATCTAACTTAGGCGGGAAACAAAAAGTAACATTCCACACACCAAACCAGAAACACTAGTATCATATCCTGCTGCACTTAAAACCTAGAACCCAGATCTTTGGTAGCCCAACAGACCTTATGAGCAAATCTAGACAACATACCAAAACAATCTTAGGCAGAAAACCAATAGTATCATTTCACACACTCATATCCTGCTGCGTCCACATTTCAGACAACCCATCATTTATTTTTATTATTATTAACTTTTTTTTTTTGGCACAGAACTTATACTTACAATAACCACAAGCACATACCTCAACTTTCTGCAGTGCATTTGTTGGCTCAGGAGGTGGGGTTCGTGCATTTGACCGTCCCTTAGGTGCAGAGGTTAATCCCAATTTCTCCCTCTGCTCCAAATGGTTACCCCTTTTTTGAGCAGGATCATCTGCAAAATGAACAGTCAGTCAAATAAGTCAACATGATATATTGCCTCTAATCTTCTGCCTTCCCCCAACTTTCTCCTCCCAATTTCCACACAAAAATCCACCTCGCTACTTCTCAAAGCTAATTGTATTTTAAGGTTATAATCAGAAATCACTAAACAGATTAGAAAGGTATATCAAGAGTATAACCTCTTGTCATCACAGGGCCCATTATTGAACGATGCTTCTTAGGCTTCCAAGTCTTGGAGAACATGCCCCCAAGACTTCCCAAAAGCTTCTCACCCTGAAATCAAACATCAAGCAGTTGAGACGTCTCTCTCTAACTAATGAAGATCAGGAATGACAAATTCAGTGTGACAACAACAAAAGAATCATTTACAGTTGGTTTATCCCAAATGTGAAACAAAACCTTATCTTTCATTTCATGTCAAGAGACATCCTACTAAACAACCATCCAGCTCTTAAGGGGAAAAACTACAATGGCAAACAATTTGCACATCCTAGGACATTCCATAAAATTTTATGACGGAGTTTGAGTACGTACTGTTGCAATTCGAATGGAGAAATGGACCAAAGAAGTGAAGACCTTAGAAGGATGTTAAGTAAAATAAATAAGAGAACTTAGATGGAACAAAATGTGGAAGAGATTAACGGACCAAATTTATAGTAACTTGGTCCAGTTATCATCAAGATATAATGTTGGAAAAATGCCAGCCTTAAAACAAATCTATAAAGAAATGAGATTTAGATTTCAAAAAATGGTTAGCAAAGAGCAAACAATTAGAGCTTTCCAAGATCCATGTTGTTCATCAACTGGATCATCTCTTCATGATAACAAAATGAGAATAGAAAAGTCTGACACAAGTGATTTAAGGTATGTTACTCTGACAGTTCTATGACCCACTTACCTATGATGTGAGACACAAATACCATACAGTTTACCCACCCTAAGTCCTTAAGTAGAAAAAAAAAAGAATCAAATCATTTTAACAATAATGTGACACCCTTGACTAGGGAGGAAGATACAGTCACAAACATAAACACATGATAATGAAATAGCAGGTGACATGGGAAATTTTCAACTTTGGAACTTGGAAATTCCGTCACAATTACATCAATATCCAAAGCAGTTTAATCAAAGATGAACAGCAAACTGTAAGATAATAAACATCAAGTGACTTGCATCAGGCGTTCATCCTATACTGTGATAACTTTGAAATTTTTAAGCTTCTAGATAGACATCTATGGAAATAAAAATTAGTGAAGTAGATGGGCCATACCCTGCTAAGATCCTGCTCAATGTCAGCAGCAACCATGTGAGTTCTTGTAATTTGCTCACCCTGTTGATGCAAGGTGACCAAAGTTTTAGTGGCATCCTCTCTTATGTCCTCCGCAATCCTTAGGCAGCCATTGACCGTCTTTGTAGCCTCCTCAGCCTTGTATACAGCATAACTCTCTAATTCTTGCACAGGCTGGTTATCTAATCCTCCTGATTCACGAAAGTCATTCTTGTATCTGCTTCTTGCTGATGAAGTTATGGAGTATGAAGATGAGGAGGTCCCTTTGATCTCATCATCATCAAAAGGATTGGTACTTAAATTTGGGGTAACAAGTGTAGGCTCCGAAGAAGTTCTCCTTGAGGGATTTAGGGTTTTCTTGTTGTCTGACTCATTATCGGAATCGAAAGGATTTGAATTAGAATAACCAGGTTCAACCGAGCTATGTTTAGCAAGCTTGTTCAAAGGAGATTTTCTATGACTGAACATTGTGTAATAAGCAAAGATGCAGGATTGACCAGGCAGTGATAGGTTGAAGAACCTGAACTCGGATTGGTCAAAGATATAAAAATCTGTACCGAGTTTTCAGAATGTGCCTGAAAAAAAAAATGATCAACGTGTTAAGATCATGCTAGTGATCAAAGACAGCTACAACCAGAAACAAAAAAGAAATGGTCGAATAAATTGTTAGTTTTCTTAAATGAGGTACACGGAAGACTAAATGATATATTGAAAATTACTAATGACTATGCAAACAAAGTATAGATCAAAAGTCCAAATAGAATCAAGATGAAACAACATTGAAGTGAAAGAAAACCCTAACACAGGAAAGATACAAACAGAATAAAGGATCAATTTGGCAACGGAATCTAAAACTCCTTAAATGATGGGGTATGGTTACCAACATTTTGATGAAAAGCTAGTAAAACTTGACTACTTTTCCTTGCCACTAGCCAAAAAGAACCAGCTTTGGGGTATAACTTGAAAAAGGAACTCAAAAAGCAAAAGCAATCATAAAACCACACTATCAATCATATCCAAAAGAGTAATGCTGTTGGATCTAAAAACTGAGACCTAATGATGTGGAATAGTATTCTTGTGACATAGTCCAATATCAGATACCCAAATGCTCTGTTTGCTTGCAAGAATTAGCCAAAGTAATATATTGACCTTCATGTTTTTCATAATCTAAGTCCTCTAAACCCCAAAAATCACCAGCCATCTTTCAAAGCAAAGAAATTTTTTATATTCATAATCAACCTTCGATTCATTTGGTAATTTAAACATACCCACAAGTCAAAGCAATCACAACACAGAAAAGAAATGAAGCAATCAACAGAGGCATCTAAAACTCCAACAATAAAAGTTACAAAAACTTCAGAAGATCAATACACAACCACATGAAGTACCTAAAAAATCAAGAAAAATCTTGAAAATGGGTCATGTTATGCTGATCTGATGATGTGAAATTACAAAGCAAATCTATGGAAGAAACACGTTGACCGTACGATGCTTATAAGAAGACTGAAACATGAAAAATTTTAAAGTGATTCAAATACACGTTCACAGGACAGAGACAAAAAGAGGATAAGAAGGGTTTGAAGTTTAAATTTAAACCCAGAAAGAGCAACCGAAAAAAAAAATCAAATCTCGGCGGGGGAGTACCTCAGAATCCACAAAAAATGGAGATAACCTTGTATTGGAACGAACACCGATAGTAACGCCGACCAAGAACCCAATCTAGAGAGAGAAAATCGAGAGAGGAGAGAGAGAGAGTCCGTTTAGGATGGTAAAGTACTTGATACAAAACACGTTATATAAACTCTGAATGTAGAAATTCTCAATAGCGAACACGTTAATATACAAAAGTCTTCCAGTGGGAAACTGGTAAGAATTTGCAAGAACCTGGATGCGTTTTGTTCTTGTCTTTGTTTTATTTGTTTTTATTTTTTATTTTTATTTTCATTTTGGGTGAATGACACTTTGTGTTTTAAATTTTTTAAAACTTTAAATTTATCTCTGAAAGATTAAAATTTACATATTAAATCCTTAATTAGATAAAAATATAGTAATGTAGGCCAAAACCAAATGTTAGCTGCCTTTTTTGATTTTGTTGAATTTTTAAAATAAGATAAAATTGTTTACATAATGCTCAATTTTTTAGTATTTTTAATGAATATTTTATACTCAATTTTTTAAAAATTTAGGAAATTGCTACTTTTTCGGTTTACTTTTGGGGTGCAATATAAAATTTTCAATCTTTAAAGGTACCAATTTGGAATAAAAATATCTTTTGAGGTATAAAATATAATTTACCATTTTATTTGTAGTAGTTTTATTAATTATATTTGTTTTCTTCCTTTATTTGACCAGATCAACGGATCAGCGCGTGGAAGTGGACTTTGAACTCCTCCAACAAGTCGCCAACGAAGAATGATTAATTATGTTCAGACCCTCTAAGATTTGTTATTGAATGAGATTAGGCCTCCTTTTGTTTAAGTAATGACACTAAAACCACTAGATGTGGTTGTCTCTAATATTTTGCCTCTCGACATTACACTCTTTGTAGAGTGCGTCCTTTAAGAACTACCTTGACATATTCTTGATAAAGATCTACACATTAAGTATACAAAGACCCATTGTCGAATCAATGAGTATTTTGAATGACTTCCAAGGAATAGGACAAAGACGATTATAAATGAGATTGTTGGTTGTAGGACCCATCAAATTGATTGCATGGAGATATTTGGGGGATAAAAGTGGTTTTGCTATGCTTATTATGTGTGAGAGTACAAGAATGAGGATGAGGAGGTTTAGGAGTGGGGGTGGTTTAGTTGCAAAGGGTAACTGTGTTGCTAAATAACATTGTTTGGTTGAAGTGTTCTTTGGGTGGGTTTGGGGGAGGGGGGTTAGTGTAGTCTACAAGGAGGTTTCACAATCCACGAAAGGTATTCTTCAGGGCAGGATAAATGGTTTTTCAACTGATGAGAGATAAAGAATAAAGGTCAAATTAGCATGGAGAGTTCGATCAGAATGTTTCTCGTGTTTTCTTTTTGTGTCTTCCTCTCTCTCTGGTGGAGGACTGGTAGGTTCAATGATAATCGTAGGGTATATTTAGTTATGACTTATGATGAAGAAAGAGATAATATATAGGGTATATTTCACACACATATCGAAGATGAGATGTGCTTTGTTATTCGTCTAGTTATGCATTCTAAGAGCATTTAGTCATATTTACAAAGGCTAAATTATTCATTCAAAAAAAAAAAAAGCAAATTAGTTTAATTCGTCACTTCCATTACTTTTTTGTCTCCAAAATATTACTGATATTACTTATTTATTTATTTTTTTTGTCCCTTGGATGACATTCGATAAAATTGAAACGATACAGAGAAGATTAACATTACTCCTATACAAGGATGACATGCACTAATCGAGAAATAATCTAAATTTTTACCTTTGCACTTGGGGCAATGACGTAGCTAGTGAAGTACTTAACCAAAATGTTACTTAGAGGGCAATGTAAGGTTATTTTTCTAAACAAGAGAGTGCTTACCTAATCAAGTCATAAATGTTAGGGGTGTAAATATAATTAACCATAAAACTAAAAAGATACCGTTTCCGGCAACGATGTGGATAATAAACAAAGTCTAGAAGGTTGAAAACTACACCTATTGTTTTTGGTCTATTGCCAGTTGCTTTTATTATGTATTTTTTTACAGTAATTAAAAAATAATTTTTTTATTTAAATATGAAAAAGTCAAAACTAATTAAAAATGGAAGTCAATCGATATAAGTGCTTAGCTATCTATATAATAAATCATCTCATACATTTTTCACACTTATCAAGGTCAGATTTTTCTCAAAATTAAAAATTTCAAGCACCCCATACTTTTTTTTACGTTAGTGAATATCAAACAATGTCTTTTATCTTCTTAATTTATTTTTAATCATAATAAAATATTTTAATTACTCATTTATATTTTAATTACGATAAATATTTTAACCACTCACGATTTAGCCACACTAAAAAAACTAATATAAGTAATTATAAAACTAAAAAGATAAAGATATTATTTGCCAAAATTTCTCAAAATACTTTTAAATAAGTAAAATACAAGGATTTTTTTTTCATATTTCGTTTCCAATTCACCAAGGGCAATATCATTTATGATTCGTTTGCTATAATGAAAAGTGGAGGAATATAAACTTAAAAGGATAAATAATAGAAATAATGAATAAAATATCATGTTCGGTTAACAAACCAAGACAATTACGCTGTTAATTTGTATCCTAGTTGTAATTTTTAAATTTTATGACAATTGATAGCTTTAAGTGATCAATTTAACTTGAATTAATTTTATTATCATATTTGTTATATGTAGAGTACAATTGATTTATTTTATGAATAACTTATAGTGATATATCGTAGTTTTTTTTTGTTGATAAATCCATATTTTCTAAATTTTTTAAAATAAAGGGTAAAATTGAAAACTAATTTAATTTCAAACCCAAGTTCTCTCTAATTTAGTTCAATTCAGTAGATATCAAACAGTCTACGAATTAAATATTTAACATTCAACACTTAAGATTCAGCATTCGATTTTCAGATTTCAGCTTTTAATTTTATCAAACACTACCTTAGTTTTCATTCTAGTCCACCAAAATTTATTTCCCAAAATTGGACAAAAAAGTGATAGAAAAATATAATCATATATTCTATTTGTTTATTTGAGATTGTGGAAAAGTCAATTTCATATATAGATATATTACAATATATTAACGTATATATTTTTTTCTTTTATTTTTTCATTTTTTTCTTTTATACCAAATTTAACAAAAAAAAAATTCATTCCCTACTTTCCATTATTTATACCGAACGCAATGAGTTGAAAAAACGATTTTTTTTCTGTCTAAGAATAAAAGCGTATTTATCATATTTCTCTTCCATCTAATTTTTTATCCATTCTACCAAACGGATTATTGGATCACAAAGACACACGAATAAAAATGAAAATGCGCCAAGCGAGTACTTTCACACCAAAGGAAACTCGGTAACAAGAACAGTGAAGGAAACTTCCAAGAAACTTCTTGTGATTTTGATGAATTCTTAAACAGCTAAGGTTTGACTTTGTCTGAAGAAATAATTCTATCTTTCTATCATCTCCCTAATAATAAAATTAATTGCATGATTTCTTACGTTAAAGAATGGCATTACATGTCACGCTTGCTGCCTATAAGACAAATAATACAAACTAAATCTTCATCGTACGATTTTTATCTCTAACTACATTTAATTATAATGATAATACCACATTATTATTGATATTAAGAACACCATCATGACGAAAATTATTATTTTTAATGGGCAAAGTACATTTTTTTTAAATGTGAAGTTATAATCTATCGAATATTATAGATAGTAAGTTAAATTCTTAATTTATAAAAATACAATAACGGTCAATATTGATTCAATTTTTATCGACTTTGATTTAATAATACATAATTTATCCCAAAATTCTTTTTCCTGCTCAAAAAATATCATCTTCTCTATATGCCCTCCAATGTCATACAATTCAATTAACACACTCTTCAATATTAAATAACTTCATTAATTCACATTTACCCCTTTTTTCTCTCTTGCCTCCTGCTCAGGTAAATTTTCGACAATACAGAGAGGTAGCGGCGATATGGGTAAAAACGAGGAGTGCCCCACCAGAGAACGGATGATCAAGGATGCCTATGGCCAACAGAAATGGTTAGAATGGTGCCGGATGTGTATCCGAAAAATCTTCTCCGACGGTTAAATCAATCATGTGAATGAGTGCAGGAAAATGAGAACTTTAGTGTAGCCGGGAGTTGCGTATCTTTAGTTTTGGGCCAAGGGGAAATTTATACCCTAAAGGGCATACCTTTCACTTGGAACGAGGCCACTAGACAAGTTGGATGTCTTGCAGTGTGTCAAAGAGGAAATTTTCCTGATTTGTTCGTATGCCAAGATGACAAAAAGTTGGCCCTCATTTTTTTTAATAGCTATTTTATATAGCATTGTAACCACTCTCAAGCTACATCAATATCCACTCTCAAGCTACATCAATATTGTGCCTTGAGTCGCGCACTTAAAGCTCTCTAGAGAGGGTAAGTCGAACCATTAATGCTCGAAATCATCGTCTTTATGTTGAATGAAATCAATTAACTAATCCAATCCCTTGCTCTCTCGAGAAGTAATCGGGCGCAAACAATAAACAGGCATCTACTTTGAGGTATCATATGATTGATCCTAATACCCAATGTTGGTACTGTAGGGAATTTATCCGCGCGTTCGGGATGTCCTCCCCCCACAGAAGGATTTCAGCTGACTTGCGCGCGTTCGGCAGTAGTCTTTACCTTTTTTCGCCAATAGGACCCTTTCCTAAGGCAATCCCACATCGGAAGAGAGTCGTCTTCCCCCCTGCCATATAAGTGAACACCTGATCAGGTCGCTAGTGGGTATCAGGTCGCTAGTGGGTACCTCCTCCATAAGAAGTGTTCACTTATATGGCAGGGGGGGAAGACGACTCTTTTCCGATGTGGGATTGCCTTAGGAAAGGGTCTTTTGTAGGGGATTTATCCGCGCGTTCGGGATGTCCTCCCCCCACAGAAGGATTTCAGCTGACCTGCGCGCGTTCGGCAGTAGCCTTTACCTCTCAGTGCCCGCAGGAGCTTCGTCCCACATCGATTGAGAGTCGTCTCCCCCCTCGCATATAAGTCATTGCACTCAAAGGAGGAGGTACCCATTATAGGGGATTTATTCGCGCGTTCGGGATGTCCTCCCCCCACAGAAGGATTTCAGCTGACCTGCGCGCGTTCGGCAGTAGCCTTTACCTCTCTTCGCCAATAGGACCCTT